AATTCGAGTCGCGAGCGCGATCGCGCGCACGGCGAATACCGCGGCATTTTTCATGCCGACTATCGACTTGGCTCTCGGCTCCACGACTCAGGCACTTAGAGATATTTTAATGCCGCTTTGTGTGTACCCTTGCCCACCTTTCCCTCCCGGAGAACGAGCCCTTTATATAACCGCGACTCTTCGTTTCGCCCTTTGTCTCTCTTTCCTTCGCTTCTCTCGTTATGTCTCCTTCGGCCGACGTCTCCGGACTACTGGTTATTTTAATTGGATCTTCGTCGAAACTTTTTCGCCCTCACCCTGTCTCGTCGTCTCCTCCGCCTCCCTCGAATGCTCCCTTCTCTCTCTCTCTCGCGCGATTCCCCGAACACGCTTCGATACGACCGTATCGGTTTTTGTGCGCGGCGCGTTGTCTTAAGAGATTCCACGGGAGAATCGATCGGCACGACGCGCAGAATTCGATATGCCTCGTGGAAGGAACACCTCCTTCGAGGACTCTCATACTTGGCATCCTTCCGAGCGGATAGGCATGTTACTCGTGTTTTTACCATTCGACAGTCTACAGAGACGCTATTTTTTCCGATTCGGAACAATGCATGTGTTTGATAAATAAATAAAAGAGAAAAGCGGCTTAATGCGGCTCAATGAATAAAATATGAAGCAGAAATATCTACGGGAGAGGCGGAATTGCGCGTCGCTCGTCTTTCGCGACAGATTTGTCATATCTGCATTGCGAAAGCGCGCAATGAAGATCCTACTGCGCGCGCGCTGTTACGCTGACCGCGAAAGTGGGTAGTTTTATGACTCGGAGAACGACCGCGATAAGTTTCTACGCGGCATTCAAGGAGAGACGAGGCGCGAATGGATGCGAGAATCGTGTCGTGTTTGACGCACCGACGGCAAATCGTCGCTACTTATATTTTCATTACACATTCACGGCTCGCCAGAAATTTATTCCCCGATCTCACTGCCAGCTTCTCTAATAAGGGAAGCCATTTAATTGATAAAAATTAAGTTTAACGTCTTTGTAAATCGCAGAGAGTTCGCGACGTTTATTTGCGCCAGCATTGCATCGAATCAAATTTAATTTAATCGTAATGAATAAAAATAATTATGCCCAATTTGCTACACTTTTGTTCTTCTGCACGCCAATGGTTAACAACTTTGATTGAATTCAATGCTGCGCGAACAAATTCTTTTCAAGTTTGTTTGACAGGGACTATTTAATTCTCGAATTCTTAGCATTGGTCAGCTCTTTGTGGTATCGTCGATGGCCGATGTTGAGTCAGCGCAAATACATGTTACACGTCGCTTTTTGTAACCATTAACTCCTATAGTGGCTGTGCAGGTCTTTATCCGCGCCCAGAATAGCGCCGAGACCGAGGGAGGTTCTTTCGCAAAGCCTCTCTTTCTCCCCCGGCGATCGGCGTGCACCTGTGTGCATCGACCGTAATAAGCGCCGGTGCGACCGCCATCGGCACAGGCTAGGATGAAGACAGAACTCTACTACCGATCCGAACTCCAATGGTATTACCACTATTCTCGCCGCGGGAGGGCCCGGGTACGGGGCCCGGGCTTACCTTAACACCGTCGGATCTTAATTTAATACCCTCTCGTTCTCTCGTTCTCCTTCTCTCTGTGAGCGGTGCGACAGACCGGCTTTGGCTGCGGCTCGATGCGTCGATGCGCCTCGTACGAGTGCAGCGTGTAAACCGCGGGGAAATATATTGTGTTAAACAGATACTAAATTGTTTCGCGTCCCGGAGGCTTTCGTCGAGGATCATCGAGCACGCCGCACGAGATGGGGCCCGGCGTAATTGAATCAGCGAGACTGAATCCGGCGAAACACGCCGACCCCCGTCTCGTACGTGTAATTGCGCGTCGACTGCCGTTTCGCCGCGGATTCATTACAGTTAAATTGCGCGCGTCGATTAATCGCGACGTCGACCGATACATTAAACAAATAGCTTTAATGGGGCTGAGGAAGGCGGGGAGAAGGCGGGCGCGCCACGTTAAAGGATCCAGCGGACCGGGACGAAAAAAAAAGATACACGTGAATCGTCACGCATGACGATCGCGAACGACGTGTAACCATTATCATAAACATATTAAATCCGATCCACGGTGCGCCAGCGGGAACGTTCCCCCGGCTCGGCCTCCGGGTCGCAACGTGATCGTTCAATTTCCACGCCATCGCGCCGGAAGACAAACGATCGGCGATTCTCGTGCGCCGCGCCGCGGATCGCCTGTTTGCGCCGATAGAATCCGACATGTGTTCCGATGTCGCGCGCGCGCGCGAGATCTCCGCGCGCCGGAAAGTGACACGCATGCCTACTGGTGCTTACAATGTACGAGTCTTTCACAGCTATTTGTAAACGTCAAGGGGTGTCTCGAGCGCATGGCCGCGCTTCTTTTCAAAAACCGGTCGTCTCGCAGGAGCGTTGTGCGGCTTCGGATAGGGATGGAAATCAAAGCCTTCGGCTCGGAGCATCGATTCAAATTGGCTTCAGATTTATATCGATCCAAACTGATTCACATCAATTTCTAATATCGCTGTAGAAAAGAAGCGGAAGCTTCTTTTTAATTATTTAAATTAATATTGAAAAATATTAAGTATTATCGCCCAATTATTTTGAATATAGACCTCTATGTTAAAATTGATTATTTCCAAATCGCAAATCGACTTCCTATTTCTAACGTGTGTGGACATGGAGTAACGAGGATATCTCGCTCAGGGCAACACGATACAATCTCTCCGTGATCGATGAGGACCCTTTCACACCTGCACATTACGCTTCCCGCGTACGATCACTTGGAAATCGTAATTTAGATTAATACCCGGCGTTCCGTTAAGTATCGCGCGTTTAGGCTGGGACGCACTTTTATTAATAGGATTTCGAGCCGCGATAGATTGTGATGAATGGCCGTCAGTTGCGTCGGGAGATTATTATCTTTCTAATCTCCGTGCAGCGTTTGAGGTCTTGTAACGTAGGCCGCGCATTATGATCAATTCAACGATGCTGCATTGTGATGCGGTCGGAACGTTGACTTCTTGGTTGTCTCTTTAAGCAGTCTCTAACAGCGAAAGCAGCAATCATTTTGGACAGGAAAAAATTGAAGCCTTTGCAATTTGTTGTGCGATAATCTGTACTGAATACAAGAAAAAAAAGAGCACACCGAGGTCGTTATCTGGAAACGTGCGATGCGCCGTCTTCAAGTTCAGATGATTTCCGCCAGAACGGCGATTACTTTTTTAATCAGCTAAGAAACTGTCATGTCACATTTTCTGATGGTAGATGCGATATCTGCGCGAGGACACGATTTGCAGCAATGTTTGTCGCTCACCACTCTGTCTCGCGTCATTAATTTCTGATAATCTATAACGTAGTCAGCGAGACGACAGACTCCATGTCGGACAAAATGCGTCAAAATATTGCACTTGTTAAAGACATTTCAGTCGAACACTTCGCTCCGTCACTTATTTTCCGCTTCGGCAACAACTGCCGATTACTTTGTCAAAAGTTTTTTAAACTGCTATCGGATTGCTTATCGCCATCGTGAAATTATGCAGCTGTATATCTTAGGTACGCAATTATGTACGTGGAATTAAACTTAACTCAGTCGTTCCCTCACTCCGTCGCCGTGATTTTATTCCCGTCGAATGCGCGGGATGGGTTCGGCCAATCGCGTCGGGACGGCACGATCTCGTTTCCGCCGCGCGACGATAGTTCGATCGGCCTCGATCCGCCGCGTCGGGCCGCTTCATTCATCCACTTAGCGTGCTCATTACGCGGCCCGATAGCGGAGCGCGGCTCGTAAAACGCAACGAGCACTCTCCACGACTGTTTCGTACGGATATAACATTAAATTCGGTCAGTCCGCAATCACGCGTTACGCACTGCATTACATAAACGTTTTCGTTTCGTTCGGCGTCCGTAATTAGTTTTGAATGACGGCCGTTCTTGTGCATATTAAATCATTAGCGTGTTTATATAACCAGGTATTAAATTACGGCGGAAATTCCAATCACTTCCATTAATCGCCATCGATTCTATCTAATTGAGCTCCATGGATTGTGATTCGAATCTATAATGTATCGATACTTTCTACCTGACACTTGTGCTAATAAGATACCTTTGAATGAATCGAAATATCGATACTTGAACAGTATCCTTACTTTCAACTGTGCTGATGATGCGTGCCGTATATTTTCTGTATCACAATAAAGTGGCGAAATGCAGAGCTTATTTTCGTTCCGACAATTCGCGGCCAATTTACTGCGCCGATCAAAGATCGCTGATTCGATATCAATCAGCGATCTCCTGAATTGTTCGGTCTCGCTGTTTGGAAAAAGATGATTAACGGCTTCTAAAGTGGCATATATCACAGGTGTCTAGCATAAAACGAAATTGTTAATATCGAAAGCGTCGAGCGCGTGTTGTTATTGCGTCATAAAAACGGTTATATATAACTTTTGAAGGAAAAGTTTAACCTTTATTTGATCTCGGAAGTTTTTATGTCTATTTTTTGCAAGAGGTGCAACAACGTTGCGCGCGTTTAAATTAATTACGGCCATACGGCCCGTCGGATGTTATCGCGAAGGCAGCGCGAACATTCGACTTTGACAAGGTGTGACGGGCTTTCAGCACGTGTCCGTGAGTCACGCGTGTTGCGACCTCGCGAGAATCTCCCTTCTGATCCGTGGCCCGTTTGCTCGTCTCTTCGGCGGATAGCAATCGCGGTCGATGTTGCTGTTTGCGAACAGATTTGAGCCTCGGGCGACTATCCGATTAACCTTTTCACTCGGAAAACGTTCGTGCAACACACGTTATCTCTCGGAGATCACCGACGGATAAATGGAAATATATTGTTAGCTAAAGTCGATTGTTTGCTAAAGCTCTTCTCGCATCTTTGCATAACTCTTAATTTCTAAGAATTTATTTTTCATACCAATTTATATATCTATCGTTAATCTTATTTGTTACCCCTGATTCTGCTCTCACCTCGTTTGCCGTGGCTCCTGGATCTGCCCAAGAATGAGAAGGGCTATCGCGATTGTCGCGATATCACCGCGACGCATCTCTTACATCACAATCACCTTGTTGTTATTGAATGTACAAAAAGCGGATGTGCACGCGACAAAGTTTTACGCTTCCGCGACCAGCGGCAGCGGGTCGCGCGACGAATGAGCGGCGCTCACCGGAAGTTCGTCGTTCGGAAACCGGGACCGACCCCGTTCCGTTGTCGGATCCTGTGCGCGACTCGTCGCGCACGTTATCACTTGACAAATTCAATCTCTCAATGTATTTTACAATGTAAGGTGTTGCCTTTGGTGTTTACTCAACCACGGCGTCTCCTTTGAACAACGTCGTGAGAAGTTCTTCGTCACAGATTTCGGGTCACTATATCACTCCGAGTTCTCGTTAGCACCTCGTGGCGGCACAAAGCCGTACGCACGCGCGCGCGCGCGCACGTTCGCACCGGACAGGTGCGAAAGAGCCGAACTTACAGAGCCAACATTTGGATTTTCTAAAGTGTTTGCACGCTTAACATCCTCGTACCGCGACGGACCGCGCGGCGCGGAGTGTTTACGGTCCCCAAATATTCTTTTTCTCCGAGAGAGAGAGAGAGAGATTCTCTTTGCAGTAACTAAGCGGCCGCGAGAACGCACCGTCTCTCGTATACGTTGCCAATCGCGCGTACCGATCGCGTATCGCGTGCCACGGGTGGTGCTTCCATCAATGATAATTAAGACCGGACTCGCGGGAAGCTCGTGATCCGTGAATTCGATCAGCAGGCGGTTATGAAAAAGTAAAGTCGTTAAGCGCGTTCCTCTTCAAAGCGAACCACCGCGGTATCGATGGAATGTAATTTCAAGTAAGATTTACTCGATTCACCTTAATGAGGCGCGATCGAGGCCGGACGCGAGATGAACGGCGCGATCTGGCCGATTCGATCTTAGAAAGTCGGCTATCTTAATCCGACGTGAACGCCGTTTATCTGGAGGAGCCGTCAAATCGGTTATCCTAATGGGCGTCGATCGCGGAGTCAGCAAATAGACGACAATTAAAATGAAAACCAAGTAGCCATTATTATCAGCGCAGCGCGTACTTAATAATCGAGCGTAATTTACAATTGGCTCCTGATCGTCCGATCGCAGATACGCGATTCACGCGACGCGTTATCGCCGCGGAACGACGATCTTCTGTGGCCTCACGCGAGAGAACGTTGGCCGATTGTCATCGCAGTGGAGATCGTCGTCGCCATCGTCGTCGTCGTCGTCGTCGTCTTCTCGTTAACGATTTCGATGCGGAGAGAATTTATCAGCCGGCACATCGTCGTCGCACTGGCGCGCGCGAAACACCTAACGATCCTTTCCACCACCGGCGGAGATCACGCCGGCGAGATCGCGCAAACCGCAAAAACCGGTGATCGATCGTCCGGCAGTCACGAGAGAGACGTGTTCGTTGCGCATCGCGCCTCGCGGTTACTCTTCTTTTTTCCGTTGCCCGCTCCCGCTACTCGCTCGTACAGCCAGCGCGAAGAATTCCAGCGCTCAAAGAGCACCCTCCCGAGGAGAGAGAAGCCCCGCTACCGGTTCTTATTGTCTCGTTGTCTTATTGTTCCGCCGTGTCAGAGTCCTTTTGAATCCGTGCCTCGCCGCGAACAAAGCGGCGCAAAGAATATCCCTCGTGAAGCTCGTTTGCGCCACTTCCTGTCCGGTGTTCCCTTTTCGTACGATCGGTTCGATCCCGGTTCGGTGTCCGCGTGAGCGCGTCGCGCGATCGGCATTGGCAGCGGCGGACCGCTCGTCGATCAGCTCGCCCGTCTTATCGGCGTCCGGATCGATCGTTGTCGTTCTCGACCGTCTCGCGGCCAACAATGTGATCCAGGCTCCAGTAATCGATCGTTCGTACGCACCGCAGATCGACACTCTCGAAGGAAGCTGTCATCTTCCCTCACTCGTCACCGTGTCTCGAGACCGTGGCCCGCGGCACGTCGTTACTCATCGTCCGTTCGCACGCACAGGAGACGTCATTGCCTTCTCGTATCAGAGATCGATAAGCGCCTCTCTCGCGCGACGGAGGTTCGATCCGGGAATGCGCTCGCGCGAAACAAAGGCGGACGAGAGATACACTTTGTCGAGCGACTTTTTCAACGCGCAAGTGACTTGTCGAGATTCATCGCGATTGTCGATCCGACGTCCGTCGTGTCGCGTGCACGAAACACCGGCCGCGTGCGGGAACTGGAGCAGAGGGTAACTGTGCAAGGTGTGCGGTACAACTTGGTGCCCAAGGTAACCACCACCACCACCACCAGCACCACCACCATCGCCGTCACCACCACCACCACCACCACCACCACCACCACCACCACACGACCAACGCACCGCGATCGGCCCGGCTATCGACGCCGCTGTGCGTTCCTGGCATGAGAAGCCCAGCCGGCCGGGCAGAGCCGGGCGGAGGGTTTACTGGCGGAGAGTTCGATGAGCAACGGTGCGTCGCGTGCACATGGGAATTTGAACGAGCGGGCGGAAAGTGAAGCGCACGCGGGCGCGCTCGCACGCTCGCTCGCTCGTGTTCGGTCGAGAGGAGGGCCCGCGATGGACTGGCCGCGGCCACAACCCGAGTCCTCCTACCTTTGGGATCAGGTCCCGCAGCCTCTACGATGTTACCTCTACGATCCTACCTCCTTGTTTCGCACTCTTTCCCTCTCTCTCTCTCTCTCCCGCTCTTTCTCGCACTCTTGCTTCCCGCGCTTGCTTCTTTCTCGTTTCTCGTTCTCTCCATCTCTGTCTGTCTTTCTCCTGCTCTTTTCCCTCGTTCTCGCTCTCTTCCTGCTTCTCTGCTTTCCTTCTTCGTTTCATTTCCACGCCAGTTCCCGCTCCCTTTCCCTCCGCCCGTTATATCCTTTTGATCCTCTCGCCCCGGCCATCTCGCTTTGCTTTAGTTTGAAAAAATTACCTGCCCGCTACAGCTCGTTGGATGTCTATATCCGTGAAAATTGCCACCGGCGGGTCTGTGCCATTTCCCGTGGCTTCGATCGGGTGTCGGATAGCGTGGCGACGATGCGAGAGAATCGCGAGCACTTATTACCGTCTCAGTTCACGATACGTGAAATGGAGGTCAATCCTTTCAGTTTTCCACGTTGAGAAGAATATGGATTTTAAGCACGTTTGAGCGCCAAAGTGGAATAAATCAAGCACAAAAGTGAATAACAGAAACTTAATTGTGGAGAGATTTGTAGTTATGACAATTCTCTCGAATCGTATTGGACAATCGGTATATTTCGGGACGATACAAAATACAATAGAGATTATTAAAGACTCTTACTCGTGGATACTTGATAGAATGAAGTGAAAAAAGGGAACCGCGTGTCTCAAAGTGCGAATTTTAATCGTTTAGCGTTCTGCGTCAATCCGAGAGCTGGATTAAATCGTTCGATTAATTGAATCCATTCAGCGCAAGCGGGATAATTGACTGCCCGCGCACCTACGCCCGGCGAAAAGCGAGATATTGCATCGTTATGACTTTTTTTTTAGCACATTGTGCATTGTACCTGAATTTATTAACTTCAACGTGGGCTTAGCCTCGCAAATTACAGCGCGAGAGCTTTACGAGCTGCACACTCGAGACTGATGGAACGAATTGATCACTTTAATTTGAGATAATGCCGTGTCTAATGCTCGGAGATATCATAGTTGCAATGAGCGATTTATTACTGACACATCGCAAAACTGCATCGCCGGTTATTTCTCTTATTACATATTTCATGCGAAGCATTAAAGATTGTTATTTAAAAAAAAAAATTAAGACAAAACATAAATTATGTTATATAACGTTATATAACGAGCAAGAAGCGATGAGTGATGAGCGATATACAACATTTGCATGAGAAAGTTGGATTTTATCGCTGGCGCGCATTTTGTTTCGTGGATGGATCGACCGATCGATCCGGTGGACTTGAGATAAACTTGATATACAAGTGGTGCGTACACATCAACGCGCTTAAGAAAATGCTCGAGATACTAACTTGAATGAGCTTCGTGACGACCTTGTTGCCTGTATCGCAGGAATGAATCATGACGGTGCCGTCCGAGCTATCTCTCGTGTTGCACGGAGCGAATCGATATATCGTTAATGTCGCAATTCAAAATCCGCGTCGAATATATGATTGGTACTTGGTGAAAAAAAGAGAAAGAGAGAGAGAGAGAGAGAGTGCCAAAGTTAAAATAACTGTTTATAATAAACAAGTCGAGACACACAGCTCGCAACATTCGGGCGAGTGCTTTTTTTTCTTTTTTTATTACATGTTCGATAATCAGTGAAGTTCTCGGTGCCGCTCCGATCACCGTTCGTGACATTGGAAATTACTATGTTGCACTCTCTGGTAATTTTCTGGCCTTTTATAGTTCCGTGGCATGCGAAATGCGCGGCCGATATATATGTATATGCGGTGGGCAAAATATATATACACGCGGGCGATGAGAATTTTATTCGGAGGACGGATCTCGGTGAGTGCCGTTTATATGGACTCGCAGTTCCCTTTGCTTTTCGAGGAAACAAGCGTGCCGTGTAACAACCAGGGGGGCCCCTTGAGCGAATTCCATTAATTATATATCATTACGTCGTAATTGTACGCCATATGTTTTCGGTTTTAAGGGGGTCTCATCGAGTCGGGTCGCCATTCGTGCGATCCGGCGCACTATCAAGACGGGGAGAAAGAAAAAAAGTAAGGTGACTACCACGAAGACCCCCGGCAACGTTGCAGAAAATACGCGAGCTTCGTGTTTGGAAAAAAAGGACATGATTCCGACGAGGATCTAGCGCGAAATCACCTTTGGCTGGAATACATTTATTTTAAGTATACACTCACATGCCATTATTCGTGTTATTAATCCCGATTCTTTATTCCTCTCTCGATGATCACGAAATTACATGTGATTGTCGTGTAAAAATTAGAGCACAATGTATAATGCGATGATGTTAGCGGACATCAGATGTGATTTGTGACAATACTGCTCTATCATTATATTTGTGCGCGCCCAGACAAACGACAGGAAACATGTCTGGCTGAGCAGAGTGTGACGCATTCGACAGTCAGCCTGCTAAAAAAAGAACCATTCGCGAACATAGGATTTTTTTTTTACGAGAGCATTTATGAATTGTTCCCGTAGAATTGCCTATGATCTGAGATAAGAATTATAATTTCGTGTATAATTATACAATTAAGTGGTCAACGGCAACGAGCATCGTGCCGGAAGCCGCGTTGCGTCACGACCGCACATCGGGATATACAGGATGTATAAAACACGAGCAAAGGACGGATAGAGGAGGCTGACAATGCGGATTCATCGTGAATTCCTGTTTTATACTCGCCTTGTTTGCTCGTCGACCGTCTCCTTCGCGTTTCTTTCGTCGCGTGAGCGCTCTGCCGCGCGGGCGGCGAGCAAACGTACACCGTAAAAATGTTTACAGCCCACCGTGAATTTCGAACGCGCAGTTTTCACGCTGTAGCGCTTTAATGGAACATCATTAGCTTTACGATATAGCGGATAATTTATATCGTCATTTAATTAACGACCGCGTCACGGACAATGCGACGTAATAATGCTGTCACCGGTGTTGCTGCGATATGTCGCCGCGAGCCTCCTCACGTGTCTCACAGCGCTAGGAAAATACAAGGTGATTTTTTTTTTTTAATATCAGTAAGAACTATGCGTTTTACAAACAATCGCGTTTTACAGCTATAGTAGATCTTACATACCGATATTGTTTTTAGTATTTAAAAGCTATTGTTCTCTGGTTATAAATTTCTCAATTATTTTATTTTTTTATAAATATCATTTTTCCACTTCGCGACATTCGACCTTTGTTGCGCTTTACAAAGCGGCGTTTTATCTCCGTTATTACGATAGAAATGAACGGACGATGCGTACCTGCGCGCAAGTTTAAAGGGTTTTCTTGACTCCGCCTTTAGATAAATTATCTGGAAATCTCTAATTCGATCCGTACAGCGGATTAAGAACCCTACATCCGCATTAGGTCGTTTATGACTCCATTATTCGTTGGATCGACGATCGATGGTTGAAGTAGAGGAACCAACACCCGAAATTATTAAGACGAATGGCTCATGAAAAACCCCTCTCGACGCGTTCGTTTTTCTAAGTCTTCAACAAAGGAGACATGGAAAAATCTTGTAGCCACCATACAGTCCTAAATCCAGGTAAAGTCAGTTTTAATACTAGGGTATCCTCAGTATTCTCACATTTTGTTTGTAGATTTATAAAAAAAAGCAATCAGTACTCATCAGAATCTACCTTTTCGAGAGACCCTTTCTCGGGAAATTTCGACTCACTTATATCTTCTTAAGATAGCGGCCCGTCCCAAATAGAGTAAACACGTTTCCTCGTGGTGTCGTTGCTAAGGGCTTCGAAAAAGGGCCTACTCTAAGCTTTTATATCACACACAATACCAGCCAAAAGGCCCGAAACTAGCTGGTGCTCGTGTAGAAGACGCATTTGTACCCCGGGAAACATCTGCTCGAAATACAAACCGCTAATAGAAACGCACAAAGAGATATCACGGGAGGAAAAAAAAAGCGACAAAAAGCATAGGGGAAGCGGCGAAATCCGAACGAGGATGGGGCGAACAGTCCTCAGGATGTAACGAAAAAAAGTACACACACACGGGGTACAAAAGAGTTAATTGAGAAGTTCACCCTAAAAAGAGCGTATGACTAATATAGCGACATTTCGACAAAAAAATGTAACCTTGCATTTAAAAAAAACGCACGAATCGTCTCTTGAAATTTAATCTGGGAAACGTGACAAACGTTACCGTGAAACGTTATCACGATTTTCTATTTTCTGCCGGAAATTGTATTGTCGTAAATTAAACCGACACGGAATTCACGAGAAAGCGTGGATTTTATAAGTGGATTTTTTAACCGGAAACGTGGGATATTGCGTTACGATTACACATGCGCACAAATGTTCTATTCTTCCTGTGCGACCTATCGCTTGTTGAAAGACGCAATCGGAAAGAGAAAAAGAATCGCGCGGAAGGGGTGGAAAAGATTGTTCTCCGTCGCACTCTTAGTCATTGCTTGCTAGCGCAAGCAAAAGCGACTCCTTTGCAGCGTGGGTCGGCTGAGAGTATTTAATAGGAAGCAACGAGCAACAGGTACAAGCGAGCTCTCGCTTGGGCTACGCCCATTCCGACTCGCGCTTCTCGTCGTGCGGCACGCTATTTTCTCTTTATTGGCGTGGCT